TGTTATCACTGCCAATCTCCATAGTGAATTGCAATCTTCCATGCAAGGAATTGAAAGTATTAAGTGTGTCATCTACACTATCAGGCGGAATAGCAAGAACAATGTCATCAACGTATCTATAATAGAACAATGGTTGTGCCGACAAACAATTAATAGCTTGTTCTTCCAAGTCCTGCATTACTATATCTGCTAAAATTGGTGAAAGTGGTGAGCCCATTGGAGTACCGAAAACTTGTTTGTAAAATTTACTATTAAAAGTGAAAAAAATTGAATTTAAGACAAGGCTAACAGCAATAATAAATTCATTTTTAAGAATATTAGTCTTAAGAGAAATGTGACACCATCTTTTTTCTATGCCATCCATAACTAAATTAAAAGGAATATTTGTAAAAAGGGAAACAACATCTAATGAAGCTAGTAAATAATGAGAATTATGCCTCTGGTCTCGTCCGGATGGAAATTTAATTGTAGTCGTGCGCCTGCGCACGTTCAGCCAACAGTGTTCAAAAACTAGGGGAAAAGAAACAGAGGTTTTCCCCTTCCTATACAGCGGCGCTTCCCGCGCTTCCGGCGCTGTATGCCCGGCCATCTTCATTGTGTTTCTGTTCGCGTCAGCCAACGTTCCTGTTTTTGAGTAGATTTCCTTTATTGTGCGTTTAAAGCTTACCAGCATGTTGAAATTGTCGGATTCTCATTCTCGAAGCCGCTCAAGGACAAGAGGCTATAGGAAGCATAAGAGACGCTCCCATGAGAATGGGAGAAAACGTGAGAAATCGCGTTCTCATGCGCGCGAGGTTAAGCGCGCTCGTCTCTTCTACGAGAATCTTTCACAGACATCGTCATCGAGGGCCTCTCCGACGATGGACGATACAGCTCTCTTGGATAGGATTCTCGAGGCGTTACAGGATCAAAGGCGGAAAATAACCTGTTTGGAAAACGAGGTTAGGGGACGCGATCTGCGTTCCCCGGAATCACAGCCACAAGAAGAGTCGACGGCTCCCGAGAGCCGGGGCATCGAACCAGAGGCCCTATTCTGTAACTCTTAACGACAGTGTCGATATCGTTACAGTGTCGTTGCGCAGCTTTTTTATCGTATGAAATATCTGCGCAACGACACTGTAACGATAACGACGTTGTCGTTAAGAGTTACAGAATAGGGCTACAGGTAAGCTCCCTTGTCGACCCTCTTTTTTCAAAATTGGCAAAGAGGGGGCTTAACTGACGACTCTTCCGCGGCACAAAAAGGTACGTTCCACCGATATTTATCGGCGGTTTTTTCAGCTTCATCGCCAAGCCCGGTGGATCGTGCGGTCATTTTTGCGTCTGCGGATGCTGAGCAAGACAGCGAACCATCGCTTATTAGCCAGCTTTTCCACACCCAGCGTGACTCGACTGAAAACTTGTCCTGGGACCAGACCATGCTGGATTTCGCCAAATCTACTGTTCGAGCTGGCCTACCAGACAACTTGCGTACACAGCTGTTGTCGAAATTTGAGGTTAAGGAAGTTTTGTCACCGTTAGGTCCTCCTAAGCTTAATAAGCTTCTGCTACCAGTACTGAAGGCCTCTTCGACGGTAGCGAAGAGGGACGAGTATCAATCTCTGGCTCAATCACAGGTAGCGGCTGTTCTCAACGCCTTGGGCATGGGCCTCTCCTATCTCACAAAGCCCGAGGTATCATCTTTATTGCCAGAGGAGGCAAAGGTGGCGCTCAGTCAAATTGCTGAGGCCATGCAATTATTAGCAGACCACCAATATAAATTATCTCTGGCCAGACGAGCTTTCATAAAACCGGCTTTAAATTTACTGGGTAAGTCGACAGCGGATCTGGCGCCAATAGATGAGTGGCTTTTCGGCGCTTCTTTTGTGGATGAGGTTAAGGACGCGCAGGCCTGCGAAAAAGTGGCTCGAGTCCTTACCAGAGCTCCCGCAGCAACTACTAAGGTAACCTCTCAGCCGGTGAGAAAGGCCCAAGCAGCACGAAGGCAACTTTCGTCGGGAAATGCGAAAGCCCCTGCCCGTCAGTCGAATCAGCCGTATCGACGAGCAGGGGCTTATCAATCGAGGAACCGACCTCGCAGATCACACTCCCGCTCCCGTGTTCACCGCCGTTAAGTTCGGTAAGATCGGCAGGCCGTCTGGCTAATTTTTTGCATGAATGGGAAGCATTAACATCGGATTCTGAGATTCTGAGCGCCATTCGAGGATATCAGATCCCTTTCAATTCGAGGCCACCTCCGCGCTCTCAGCTCAGAGAACCAGTTTTTGCTACAGCGACGTCTACCTACTGTACGGCGGAAATACAGAGATTATTGGATAAAGGAGCCATCTATCCGGTACAACCATCGTCGGATCAGTTTCTTTCTTCTTTCTTTTTGATGGAGAAAGCTTCTGGTGGCATGCGGTTTATCCTCAATTTAAAAGATCTCAATACTTATATCAATCCCCCGCATTTTAAGTTAGAGGATTGGCGGACAGTAGTGCGTTTATTGCTACCGGACGTCGAGATGGCTACCCTTGATCTTGAAGACGCTTATTTATCCGTATTAATTCATCCTTATTACAGAAAATATTTGAGATTCAAATGGCAAGGTATCACTTATGAATTTGGTGCTCTTCCATTTGGCTTAGCCACGGCACCGTATATTTTTACCAAGATTCTACGCCCAGTGGTTACGTCTCTTCGGGCCAAAGGCTACGAGTCCGTATTGTACCTGGACGATTTTCTACTTTTAGCTCACTCGAAAGAGGCCTGTCGTCGGAATGTCCAGGTTCACATTAACATCCTTTCGGAGCTGGGTTTTTCTATTAACTTTGGGAAGTCAGAGCTAGAACCTGCACGACAACGCAAGTATCTCGGTTTCGTGTTCGATTCCGAGGCTCAGTCTGTTGCAATTCCAGAACAGCGCCAGATTAAATTACACTCGATTGTTTCGAGCTTTTCAGCTAAATCTAACTGCTCGATCAAACAATTCGCGAGTATGATTGGATCTCTCATTTCAGTTTGTCCATATAAGATATGGTCTTCTGTACTCGAAGGCTCTTGAAAGACAGAAGTTCTTAGCCCTTAGAAAATCAAATAATGACTTCAACGCTAAGATGAGTATCTCATCGGATCTCTCTGAAGATTTTCGGTGGTGGCGCATTACTTTGGCCGATCAGCTCCAAGCAAATCCCATTTTAACGGGCCGTTTCGTATGCGAAATTTTTTCAGATGCCTCCCTTACGGGCTGGGGCGCTTCCACAGCCTCGGATCGGACTCACGGTTGGTGGTCAGTCGAAGAAAAGACTACATATCAATGAGTTGGAACTCAAGGCCGCTTTTTATGGCCTAAAATGTTTCGCATCTCATCTCAGTGGCGAAATTCTTCTAAGAATTGACAACACCACAGCAGTGTCTTATATTAACCGTTTCCGTTCGGTTAAATATCCACATTTATCATCTCTTTCTAGAAAGATTTGGCAATGGTGCGAAACTAGAAATATCTTGTTGTTTGCCTCTTATATTGCCTCTGCAAAAAACATCATAGCGGATGAAGAGTCTCGCCGTCAGGACGCGGATACGGAATGGTCTCTGTCCGAGGATGCTTTTCAGTTAGTCGATAGGAAATTCGGCTCTTTTGATATCGATTTATTCGCCTCCAACATTAATACAAAATGTGACATATTTGTTTCATGGTTTCCGGATCCGGAGTCTTTTGCAGTCGACGCATTCACCCTTGACTGGGGGGAATTTTACTTTTACGCTTTCCCCCCTTTTATTTTACTTCCTCGGGTTTTACGTAAGATCATTAATGATCAAGCAGAGGGCGTTGTAATCATTCCGTGGTGGCCGTCGCAATCCTGGTTTCCTCTCTTCAGGCGTCTCATGATCTCGAAACCGATCATATTATATCCAGCGGATGATTTATTATCTTCTCCTTTTAGGATCCGTCATCCAGCGGCCCGCTCGCTTTCCCTGGCGGCAGGGCGTTTATCGGGCAGGCTTTTCAAACCAGAGGCGTCCCTCAGCCCGCCGTCGACACCATCATAGCATCTCTCGCGCCAGCTACTATCTGTCAATACTCAAGCTCTCTGCGCGCTTGGTGGGATTACGCTCATGGTCATCACTGTTCGCTCTTCACACCGGAAACCAAAGACGTCCTTCTCTTTCTTTCGAATTTATCGCAATCAGTAGGCTCTTATTCTGCGCTTAACGTCGCCAGATCGGCGATCTCACTTATCTCAACCAACGCGATCGGTGACGAACCTCTCATCAGACGGTTCTGTAAAGGCGTCAGTGTATTAAAGCCATCTCGTCCGCGTTACGATTATATCTGGGATCCCGCTCCAGTAATATCAAAATTAGCCACCTTTTTTCCTCACGATTTTTTATCGTTGGAAACTCTCACAAAAAAGTTAGTTTTTTTGTTAGCTTTAGCATCGGGACAGCGTTGCCAGACCCTAGCGGCGATTCGTGTCTCGCAAATTTCGATTTCCGCAGAGAGGGCTCTCATTCGTATTCCAGACCGTCTAAAAACCTCGGCGTCAGGTCGATCGCAGCCACTTTTATCTTTTCCCAGTTTCGGGGAACACAGAAATCTATGTGTTGCATCTTTGCTTTCTGATTATATTGCCCGGACTCGAGATATTCGCCCTGCAGCCTGTGATTCTCTTTTTATTGCGCTTAAACGCCCACACGCAGCGGTAGGATCCCAAACGATTAGTCGCTGGATTAGATCTACCTTATCAGAGTGTGGAGTCAGTGATGTTTTTTCCGCACACAGTACGCGGCACGCGTCGACATCTCTCGCGGCTCGAAAAGGGGTACCGGTAGATCTTATTAAACGTGCGGCAGGATGGTCCGGCGAATCTCGTGCGTTCGCGAATTTTTATAACAGGCAGATTATAGACATAGATGCGTTCGCTAATGCAGTTTTACGTACAGACCAATAAGCATCCTGATTTGTTATGTCATGCCGTCTCAGCGATCTTCCAAATGCTAGTTTAACATTAATTTACATTATCATTACAAGCTTTAATATAGTTTTATAGTGTTTTTAAGGATAAGCCCGATTATAAATCTGAATAATTATAGCTTTGTATTGCTGGGGTTTTGCCTAATAAAAAGCCACGTTATCTTCTTGCCGGTGGCTCTTGAATTACATCCAGATTTCTTTCCAGATAATTTTTTCCCGGTCTCTATTTTATGGTGACACGGACGAGTCACGTTTTGAACATCTACAATTAAATTTCCATCCGGACGAGACCAGAGGCATAATTAATAGATCAAATGAACTTACCAAGTGAAGTTCGATCATAATTATGCCAATGGGTCTCGTCCGGATGGAATGTCCCTCCCTTGTCCTTCCCGGAGCATACGTTATTAGGTGATTCGTCCGAACTTTCCTTGTTTTGAACTATGAAGATGGCCGGGCATACAGCGCCGGAAGCGCGGGAAGCGCCGCTGTATAGGAAGGGGAAAACCTCTGTTTCTTTTCCCCTAGTTTTTGAACACTGTTGGCTGAACGTGCGCAGACGCACGACTACAATTAAATTTCCATCCGGACGAGACCCATTGGCATAATTATGATCAAACTTCACTTGGTAAGTTCGTTTGATCTATTAATCAAAATGAGTACCTCTTAATTTGTTAACTAAGTGGAAACTATCTTTGATATGGCTAGGAGCTGGTGGAATGCTAACATTAATTATATTGTGTAGGAAAAGGGAAAGGTAATATAATGGACTATTAATAGAAGAAACTATAACTCTCAATGGGTTCCCATCTTTGTGTATTTTTGTTAAACCATAAGCTCTTGGAATAATACCGTCAGTTGTAAGCAGTTTAATATATGTAAATTTGTCAATATAACCATTGCTCTTCCACCTTGTAATTAATATACGTAAATTTTGAGTCATTTTATTAGTTGGATCTTTATCGATAATTTCATAAGTATTCGCGTCTGATAAAATCAGTTCCATCTTAGATATATAGCTATCTTTATTCAGTAAAACAGAGACATTTCCTTTGTCGGCATTAGTAATAAGTACGTTAGAATGTTCGTTTATAAATTTTTTAGTTAAGTGTAACTATTCTAAAATACTTTTTTCAATAAAACTTGGTGAAGGAAAATTGTTATAAAGTCTGTTAAGAATGGGAATAGAGTTATTCCTGACATAATTTACAATATTATCGGGACGGCCCTTAATATTACCTTCAATATGCTTAATACATTCAATAATTGTTTTTTCTTTGTTGTATCTATTGATAGGAAGACCAAATTTTTCACCAAGTTGTAATAAGTACTGTACCTTCAAAGGAACGTCAGTGTCACTTAAATTAATAAACCATTTGTTCTGTGGTAAATCAAAATTAACTGAATCTGTAAAATTAACTGGATCGACATAAATTTTCTCCGTGTCAGAATTAATATTAAGTGAAGAACTAGAAGGTAGAATTTGATTTCTGTTAGAAATGTCATTTGAGAAATTACAATAATAATTAATAGGATTAATTCTTAATTTTGATAATGTTAATTTTTTATTATTAAGCCAGTCAATCTTATTAGAAATACGACGCATTTGTGTTAGAGGCCAGGAATTAAATTTTGAAGAACAGCAGTCTCGTGTGCACAGATAAGTTTAATATATAGAATACTCTGTAACGTTATAAGAGACGAGACGCACGTGCACATCACAAGGCGTAGTAGTAGAGAAGTAGTGCTGAGAGTTCGGTAGGACAAAAAAGAGGGGGGAACGGTTGAACTAGGTGAAGCGCGCATCTCGGAAAAAGAACTATTTAAGGCGCGCTCACAAGTCGTCGATACAGTAGGTTGGTAGTTATACTTTGCAGGGTCGGTAAACTGCTTAAAAGAAATACATAGCCGATAGGCTCGGTAATATAAGTAAAGAGAAAATACGAAAGTATATGTAAGTAAAATATACGTAAATAATATATCGCAACAACCCCACTACTTGAGTATTTTAGTGACATCAGTAACGAGTTTAGAACGAAGTACATTAAATTTTTCGATGCATAAGGGTTTGGTAAGTATGTCGGCGCATTGGTCGCTCGATTTAATGTATTTCGTGTTAATTTCTTCGTTTTGAACTTTTTCGCATATGAATTGATATCGTACGTCTATGTGCTTCGATCTTCGGTGGAATTCGGGGTTCCTTGACAGCTTAATTGCACTTTGATTGTCTACATATAAGACAGTGGGTTTTAAATTTTCTTTTGCTGCAATTGCTAATAAAAGTCGAATTGATTCGTATCTAACGACGGGAGAAAAAATCTCGCCGTAATCCACGCCGGCTTGTTGCGAGAAACCTTGTGCACACAAGCGCGCTTTATAACGTATCGAATTTTCGGCGGGTAAATCTTTTATTTTAAAAACCCATTTATGACCTATTGGTTTACGATCTTTGGGTAATGGTACGATTTCCCACGTGCGATTTTCCTGATGTGCTTTAATCTCGTTATCTATCGCCTTTTGCCAAAAAATCGAATCTTTGCTTTTGATAGCTTCCTGATAAGTAGTCGGTACGTTATATACAATGTAAGCTGCGTAACGATCGGGCGCGTGTAAATTTTCGCGATCGCGTAAGTGATATCGTCCCTGCGAACGCTCATCACACTGTTCGGCGCGGTTTTGACTTATTGGTTCGTTAATAGCTTCCTCAAATGATTGATTAGAAGCGTCGTCAAAATCCTCAGAACTTGAGACCGTATCATTCAATCTAATGTTGGGAGTGATTTCACCGTTTATTGGAACGTCGATATCAATTACAGACGTATTAATATTTTTATCCGTTGCTTCATTGGCTATACATTCATCGAAAATAACATTTCTGGAAATTGTAATTTTCTTAGTTCGCGTATCTAATAGTCTGTAATTGTTCGAGTCTTTTTCATAGCCGACGAAAGTTTTTCTTTGCGATTTAGGATCCCACTTTTTGCGCAATACATCGGGAACATGTTCGTACGCGTTAGAGCCAAATGTTCTAATATGGGATAAATTTGGTTTCTTTTTTGTGTAGATCTCGAAAGGAGTTTTATCTGAACGAGTCGGTACCGTTCTGTTCAAAATATATACCGCTGTATTAACAGCTTCGCCCCATAGAGTTTTAGGTAGATCTCGAGCTAGAAGCATTGAACGTGCGCACTCTACTATTGTGCGCATTTCGCGCTCTGCGCGCCCGTTCTGTTGAGGCGTATACGGTGCCGATGTAAGCAATTTTATACCGCGTTGCTTTAACAAATCGCGAACTTTCGAATTAACGTATTCCGTGCCGTTATCAGCCCTTAGAATCTTTATTTC